ATTTCTGTTGCATGTTTATCTTGATTTGTCATGATTTACACTGGGGTTTTTGAATGCGTAATGATTGATTTTTATCTGCATATGTCATCATGTTTTATGGTGAAGATTGGTGGAGGGGAGTTTGTTTACAAATGCGAATGCTATCTGACAAAAAGATTTTGAATTAGTTAAAAGAAAAAAGAAGCCGTTATTCAGAAAAAAAAAGTGCCTTTCAAAGCGCGTTTCAAAGTACCGCGGAAAGACTTATTAGAAGCACTTAAATTGCAAAGAAATGACGAAGAGTTTCAGTTTCAAACTTAGTAGTGCATGAAGTGTTTGTCACCTGGTGTTTTGGTTATTTAAACAAAGGAATGCACACAGAACTGTTTCGAAAAAGCCAAGTCAGTTTTCTGTTGAGAAGACAAAACATGGGCTATATTTCACCTATATATATATGTATTGGGCAAAAGACATTTTCTGTTAGTCAATATTCATATATATATATATATATATATATATATATATATATGTATTCATACAAACACCGACATCTATCTATCTGTAAAATATATATATATATATATATATATATATAAGGTATATTTATACAGCAAGTATTCATCCAAACATCTTTGATTAAAAGGAACCGGCAAGGCCTGGCTGTAATATTTTACATTATATCTTTACAACATTTGAATAAGGTGTTTAGTATCATACTCGAAGTTATGGATAAACTGTACGAAGTTCATATTATGTTATTGCTTTTTGTTCAAGTACTTTTGACCATCGTAGTGATTTTTATATATATATATATATATATATATATATATATATATATATATATATGTGTGTGTGTGTGTGTGTTTTGAAACATGAGAACTCTTATATAGCAATGGAATCATATTTTTGAAAAAATAATTATAATATAGGCTCTATTTTTCTATCGAGCACTATTTTTAAAAATAAAACAAAAAATACTAAAGAACTTTGGATTATTAACCTAACGGTTCTTTCCTATTTTTCTATATACTTACACACGATTATATATATATGTGTGTGAAAATATATATAGGAAAGAACACGTTATGCGTATATATATATATATATATATATATATATATATATATATATATATATATATATATATATAAAATAAACATATGCACACATCATATCTTGCTTACGTCACAACACTACACGCACCAGTTCTACGAAACTCATTATTTGTCTTCCTACCCTGATGATGGCTTAAGAAATTAGAAGAATACGTTATATTTATCGAGGAAGTATTTATCCAAACAATTTTGATTAATAAGTACCGACAAGGTGTGTCTGCTTAATTTTTACACTATTTTTTCCAATTTTTGGTTATTATTATACTATGAAAGACGAAGGTACCTTATCAAAAATAACAAAATATGAAGTTTAGACAGTTTGTCTATAATTTTGAGCACAATACTCAACACCTTTTCCGAAATTTAAAAAAAAAATCGTATTGTTTATATATATTTCGGGGTTTCTTATACTCAATAGATCGGGGCTTCTTATAGGCAATAGATTAATAACAGCTTTAGACTTATTTTCGGCTTCAAGTTTTACAGATACAGCCATCCACTTGTCAGATACGATGATTCTATTGAATTCATTAATACATATATTAATTAAATTTTTTTTTTTTTTACATTGTATAATTGTTGTAGCATACCTACGGACAATGATGGGGATGTCCCCATTCACATAAATACAGTAGTAAATACTATATGTTGGTCTGCAGTTGGAGATTCTCTCTTACTCCTAGAGGCTGTAGCCGAACTGATACTATTTTGAAACCAGGCTGACTCCGTGAGCAAATTAAAAACCTTCCGGGTTGAATCCGGACCCGCATGCCAGTTTTCATTACTGTGATTGTTTTTGCGTGATATTTTTTTTTTTTTTTGTTTTTTTTTTTTGCAACGAATTTTTTTGTACGATAATAATTTTTATAACTTGGAAATAAATTTCGGAATAATCGAAATTAATCGCGAAATCCATCGAAAGTCACCCATGAAATAAAATAATTGTTTGTAGGGAAAGTAAGAACCTACGTCCATAAAATTGTCTTTAAATTAAGTGTCGGTAAAAAAAAAAATTCTTTAAAAAGGTAAGCTTAAATATTAATGGAATACTTAAATGCAGCAGCCAGTTTTGAGTTCTTCTGTAGTTTATTGTTGCCTATCGTATCTCCTCCTACCAATATATTGCGATGAAAGCCCAATCAAGAGCCCTCCGCAGGAACTAGCTTAAATGCAACCCGATAATGCGGCTTTTAAAGTAGTTTTTATATATATTATTCGGACTATTGTCCTCATCTTTGTCGCCATATTTATTACAACGTTTCGGCCGTTGTATGCTCTGGCCCTCTTCAGGTGGTTGGAATGTCGACATTCCAACCACCTGAAGAGGATCTGATCGTACAACGGCCGAAACGTTGTAATAAATATGGCGACAAAGATGAGGACACTAGTCCGAATAATGTACATAATACCTCATCTCAGAAATATAGACAGATAGTTTTTATATATATAACTTCAGCAAAACAATGTCACTAAGGAGCTAAAAGCATAAAATAACTTCCTAATAATCTGTATTCTTCTAGTTCTTCTATATGCTGTATCACTTCAGGACGTGGACGGTAATGGCTCTCCACAATTTCCTATCCTTTGCAGCTCTTAATAAGTCTTGCCTTTCTACCATCCCCCAGCCCCTGTTCTTCAATCCATTTATACAAGCTTGTTAGGTAGGTTACTGATTGCCTTCCTGTATTCCTCTTTTTTTCAGTGTGTCCTGTAAGTGTTATATTTGCCAAGCCTACTTATTATGTATCCAAGACATTTCAATTATCTCTTTCTGATTTTATGTTTTAGAGTCACTTTTGTTTCCATGTTCCTTTCTCGTCACACACTTTTTCCGTCCATGGTATTCTCAACATCCTTCTGCAGAACCACGTCTCTGTTGCTGTTGCATCAAGTCGCTTCTTCATTTGTGGGGAGATTGTCAAACAGTAACTGCCATATAGAAGGACTGATATTACATAACAGTTCAGCACTCTTTTCTTTGTTTTTAACGAATTTTTCCTGTTTCTTAATGGTTTGTTTAGTTTTTGGAAAACATCTTTTGTTATTCCAATGCACCTTCGGATTTCGGTGTCTCCCCCCCCCACTTCCCAGTTATTTTTTTCGTACTTGCCCGATTTTCGTTTCTTCAATTCCTAGTTCGTATCTTGGGATGTTGATCATGGCAACCCACAGTTCTGAATATGGATAGAACATAAACTGAGCAAATAGACAGAAATAGAAAGGGGCATAAGACAAGGATGCATCTTCTCACCGGATTTATTCAACCTATACAGCTTGGCGATTCTAAGAGAACTAGAAGCTCTACCAGGATGCAGTACTGGTGGGAATAATCTTAACAGAGTTATAAAAATAAAAAAAAGTACAGAAATGTAAATATCTGTGGTGTTTTTTTTTGGGGGGGGTTACGGTAAGGTTCACCTTGTACAAAACCCTGGGGCCAATTGTGGTAGAGGGTTACATTAGGAAGCAATTTGTACGGATAGGAAGAGAAGATAACGGTTAATCCTAGCTTTGACCAGATTAAGATTCTAGTGATTGGGGAAACATCCTATTGGGAGTCAATTTCACAGGGCAGTGGTTCGTGGCTACTCGAGTGAAACTTACTTCTAACCGATAGAATACGGAGGGAATATCGGTAGTTTATTACGATGTAAGTGGGGCATAGTGGGTCCTTGCTTTGAAGGTTTGAACTGGCAGGACAAGTGAATGTAGTTCGCCTGAGCACTTTCCATGGAAGTCGCGATAGAGTAGCAAAAGGCTTCTCATACCCCGCCTGTGAGAAAGAGATTGGAGAGTGAAGAATAATTCATCACCCACAAGGGCTAGGAGATGTTTTCTATGGCGTTTTAAGAAACGACGGAAAATATGAGAGAGAATCCAAAAGACTCATTGGAATAACGACAAAATTCCTTCCAAATGTTAAACAAAGTATCTAGAAAAAGAAAATTTTGTTAGAAACAAAGAAGTGCTGAATTGCTATATCGCATCAATCTTTCTATAATAATAATAATAATAATAATAATAATAATAAACTGTCTTTATTTAATATCCGATTTTTAAAAAAATATAAAAACAGACTTTAAACGGAAGTGCGGACTTACCTATAAGCTACTCTTCCGTCCACCACCCTAATTTATTTTTTCAGGACCATAAGAGGAAGTAAAAAAAGAAGAAAAAATACAAAAACATATCAATAAGAAATCAATAAAATAAAAGTGGTACTTGTACCCCTTCCCATAAAAAAAAAAATAGAAATACATACACATATACAGGGTATTGGTAGAAGCCAATAAGGAATTGACATTGACCAGACAAAAAAATAATTTAATAATTATTTATAAGAGCAATACAAATTTACTGTGAATTCCAGAGATATTGCCAATTATATTTTTTCAATGAGTACAAAGAAATGATTTTAATATTCATAGCTTTTGAAATTTCATTGAATTTCTTACATATCAAAACCAAAAAAGACATACTCCTTAGTTTAGTCTTAGCAAAAGGGGGATCCATTTGGCATCTGTTTCTAGTGAAATATCCATGTATCTCACTACGAGTCTTAATACGGTTCAACAAATACATAGGCGTTATATGGCAGTGAATGCTAGACAGATACCTCATAAAGGAAGAAAAGATTTGAGACAGCTTTGTTTGATTGATTCTTTTCTTTTACGGTTTATCGATCCTTTGCAGGTTATTTAAAGTCAGAAAATATTTTTAGATTGTCAGATTTTTTTGTAATAATAATTGTTTAGTAATACAAATTTTAGTAATTAACCCATAGCTGGAGAGAGAAGAGATGGATTCATACCTTTTCCCAAATGTGTTTGTGCGTAAGTGAATATAACGAATTCAATCGGAACTGAAACTCGGCTCTACGATTAACCATTTCGAGCCGTTGTCCATTACACCATCCTTGTATTCCCAAGCGGTCACCAATATAATTACTGACCAGGCTTGACGTTACTTAACTTCGGTGCTCGTACGGGAACCAATGTTTCAACATGATGTGGCCGTAAGCTTTGAGACAACAGAGATGGGATTCTACAGAAGAATACTGAGAATACCATAGACGGAACATGCGAACAACGAGGAAGTTCTAAAGAAAATGGAAACCAAAAGGAAAAGGGTAAAACAGAACCCGAGAGATAGTTGGAATTTTTAGGACAAATAATGATGAGATAGAGATTGAAGAATTTGACGCATACAGGTCTTTGAAGAGAGTTAGAAGGAAACAGGAAATAACCTTTCTAACGAACTTGGGTAAATGCATGGTACAACAGAGACTGGGATAGATAGTGTTATGGGACCTTACCCATAATAACATAACGGACTATTTCATACGTAATAAATACTGCGCCTCAAGAGGAAGCAGGGAGTTCAGTCTGGAGTGAAGTCCGTCAGGAGTCTGTCAGTCAGAGCGAGCGAGTCAGTCAGTCGAATCAGAGGCAGTCCGAAACAGAGTCGCGTTCAGACAATTACTACTAAACCTGATTGTTCGTACTAATAAGTTCTACTTCTCTGTATATATTCCTGTTTGTAATATATCTGTGTTATTCCATACCTGTGTTCGAGTTCTTCTTTATTGGTTCTACCTTGGACTATCACTGTGGTACAAAGAACCGGACCATAACAGATAGTAAGGAGATAAAAATTACTTAGAGCTGCAAGCGATAGGGAGTTGTGGAGAGTCATGCTCTTCCTACTCCTGAAGGAACAAGCACATAAAATATGAATGTTTTTATTTCTCGAAGTTTAACTCTGAATTAGCATTGCAGTCATTTAATAAGGCAATGGACACTTCGACATGGTGTAATGGTTAGAAAGCTTGTCTCGCTATATCAATTACGACTGAATAGTGATTTCGATTCTCACTGGATGCTCCACACTTTCGGCCTTGTGCCACACCTAAGCTAGGCTTCGAAAATCATTGGGGCACCACGTCGTGGGATAACGGTTTGCAAGTTTGTATCGCAAGAACAATTACGACTGAGCAGCGAGTTCGATTCCTACTGGGTACCCCATACTTTTGGCTGAGAAAATCGCCATATAACAAAGAGAGATAAATAAAAATAATTAAGTACACTACAGTCCTGTCAACAAACAATAAGTTTTGTTTTGCCTTACAACATCTAAAATGCATTTACACACACACATGCGCAAGGACACACACACACACACACACACACACACACACACAAATTGAAATCAAATATGGATTAAATCCGATAGAATGATAGAATAAGTAACAAATGGGAAACGTTTATAAATGTAATAAGTTTCACCTTTATTTAAGATTTTATCAGAAAATTTTGTAAATGGGTTGTGAAAAAGACTGACAAACACAGATGTGTGTGTGAGAGAGAGAGAGAGAGAGTAAGTAATGTGGACAAATGTATCAGCATTCAATGGCCACAGTCGGTTCCATGCTTAAAAGAAATTGTCAGGCCATATATGACAAGAGTTCTCAGTTCTGTATACAATGTAATATGTGTAATTTGAACCCTTGAAGCAAATCTGGTGTTTGTTATCACTATAGATTGTTATGTATGATATTCTAAAGAAATATATTTTGATTGAATTACTACGGAAAAGGAAAACATATTTGAGCAAACTTTTGTTATACTTACAAGCCATTGCCAAAAATTGAAAAAAAATGTTTTGCCAGGAAGATATTATCGGAAGACATTGATAACGTTAAAAGGAAGCGTGTGTAATGCTTGACGTTTGAAAATTTCCTTCAAATTTTTCTCATATCAAATTTTGTCGTTTAAATAGATATTATGATCTATGACAAAATTTGAACGAAGAAAATGAAAATCAAAGAAAAATTAATAAACCTAAAAGAAATAAAAGATGACTATTTATTTTTTGTACGGCGCGTACAAAAATGTATATCGAAAAATGGGGTTATTTCGTAGGTTTCTTTATTCAAATCGATATAACTAGATAGATAGATAGAATAGTTTGAACAGACTGACATAGGTAGATTGTTTGAACAGACTAACATAGATAGTTTGAACAGAGATAGATGGATTGAACTGACTGATATAGATAGATAGATGGATTGAACTGACTGATATAGATAGATAGATAGATGGATTGAACTGACTGATATAGATAGATAGATAGATGGATTGAACTGACTGATATAGATAGATAGATAGATTGAACTGACTGAGATAGATAGATAGATTGAACTGACTTAGATTGAGATAGATAGATAGATAGAACTGAGATAGATAGATAGAACTGAGATAGATAGATAGAACTGGGATAGATAGATAGATTGAACTGGGATAGATAGATAGTTTGAACAGACTGAGATAGTTTAAACAGACTTAGTTTGAACAGAATGAGATTAGATTGATGGTATAAAAAGGTTGACATTGATGGTTTATACAGACTGACACATGATTTGAACAGACTGGCATAGATAGATAGTTGTGTATTTTCATGTATGCGAATCATTAAAACTCAAGTTACTATAAATTATGGGCAGATATCTACCGATTTGGTATGATCTGTACTCCGAGGTATTTGTGTTTAGTATTTACTAATGGAGTGCGTATTTAGCATTTTAATCATTATAATCAATTCAATGAATTAGACAAAACTAGTTGGTGAGGCCCGTATTGATTTTACATATTTCGGGGTTTCTTTTGCTTAATGAACAAGGTAGCGTATACATATATCCTTGTTTAGGTTAACAGACAACCGGTATTTACTAAGATTAGATTCGTCTAGTACAATGGCACTGATATGAGGCACCCAGTGAAAATCGAACTTAATGCAATAATAATGGCCTCTGATATATTGCTTTATTTTGAAATATTTTTTTTTACAGGCCAATATTTATTTGAGTCATAAATATTGAATGTTTTTCAGAATGTTTCAGAAAAACAGAATGTTTTTCTTTATGAACGCTATTCTTCAAAAAATAAAGGGCAATTATATTTTAATCGATTATATATTTCCATTATTTCCAATGACCTATGGCCATTTACCAGACTGCTCTTTGATGACTTTGAAGTAAAATTCTGCAGGTTCTGATGTGTAAAAGCTTCCAACGAACACTTGAAGCTGATTTTCGTTAAACAAAGTTTTCTCCATCAAAGCGATTTGCAATTGTCAAGAAAGCTAATAATCGGTTGGTACAAATTAAACTGAATATGGCGGGTAGGGTAGAACAGACTAGTTGTGTTCCATTTTTCCCGCGTGATTTTGGCTGTATGCTGCCTTGCGTTGTCTTGGAGGAGAACGACATTTTTCTTTTAATCCACTGTGTATACTGCCACGCCCGGGCAAAAGCTAAGGTATATTTGTGTAAATGAAATTTATTCTTAACCGGCACGTTTGATTAGCAGTTAGGATGTTACATTCATCATTACAAATGGTTCGGAAAAACGGAAATTAATTATAACTAAGAATCAAATATATATATATATATATATATATATATATATTCATAAATTATTCATACAAAACAAATGCAAAAGGTTAATGATTTAATTGGCGAGTTTTTCCATCGTCGCAAACAATTCAAATAATATACAAAATGCTATTGGAAATGACCTGTTTTTGGAGAATGCAAAAGCAACGCTGAGTTTGATTATAAATTTTGCTCCAAAAACAATAACTTATTTCCAATAGCATTTTTCGTCTGTTACATATATTTTCGCTGTCTTCTTATTACTGAGAAAAAACAAGAACAACATCTATTCCATCTCTGAAGATGTCTGTAGGAACAGACGAAAGCTTGTAGTAAAAAAAATAAGAAAAATGCAGCAGAAATTTATAGAAACAAGGATTTTTCATTTAACAGGTTCGGGGTTTGTATATTATTTGAATTGTTTGCGACGATGGATTTTCGCCAATTAAATCATTAACCTTGCATTTGTTTTTGTATGAATAATTCATGAATTTGTAAATTGATTGCACGTTTTGAAAATATATATATATATATATATATATATATATATATATATATATATATATGACGCTAACTGAAAATTAAAAGTAAAAATTATCAGACTTAATGGAGTTATTTCTTGAATTTTTTATTTTTGAGACGAGGAATTATCAATATAGTATACTGAATTATTCGATTTGTTTGTACTATTGTTCTAAATTTGAATATTATAGATGTTATTATAGACACGACGTTTTGACCAAGTACACTTTGTGTCCGTTATTTTTACTATTATGGGATATCTTTAGCATCTGTAGTTATTTTCTTAATTTCTCAGAATATGCCCGTCCTTGTGTGTGCGTGTGTAAGATCGTGTACGTTTCTCAACTTCAACACAAAACAAAACATTCAAATTCCCCATTGCGGATCCTCTTTTCCGGAGTTTTCTTTTCTTTTCTTTTCTTTTTTTTTTTTCCTCACAATAACGCAATACTTAGGTTGGATCCGATTGTTTGAAATGCTAACTGTTCATTGTTTCCCTATCGACTCGATTACCGCATTGTTTCAGAAATCTCGCGATATCCTATAACGTGGGAAATGGCAAACATTCTCTTCTTCTTTATATCCGGACTAAAGTATTAATATTGTCGACCAAATTAGTACAAAAACAAATGACTTCGCTTTCCTTAAAAACAAGTATGTAAGCAATAATATGTTTACTCTGTACTATTCCCTACCTTAGCCCTTAAAAACAGCGAAAGAAATCTTCACTTGAAACCACCGAAATAAAAAAACACACACTGAAAGATAAATTACAATAGCAAAACAAAACTACAAAATTTCCTAAGGTTCCAAAGAAACCTAGTATAAATTGAAAGCTAAAACATGTTCAACACAATACAGCCAAATTCAAAACGAACACTGATATCATTAAAAAGCAGAAACTCAAACATACACAATAAATACATACAGACGCAGAAATAAAACGAAATAGAATAAAATGCAAAAATAAAAAGACAAAATAACGGCTTATGAAACCAAGAAAATGTTCCAAACTTTTAAAAAAGAAATCCTTTATTAGTTTTTAACAAAATCTGTATAATATAGACAAAACTAGCGCAGCTTATTCTATGTGCAATTTCTTTATTACCGATACTAAATTTGTTATAACTGATCTATACACCAAGGTATGTGAAGTGTTTAGTATTTACTAATGAAGTGCGTATTTAGCATTTTAATCCTATATAATCAGTTCAATGAATTCGTCAAAACTAAGACTGGTATTCTTTATATATATTTCGGGGTTTCTTACACTCAGTAGATCGGGCTTCTTATAGGCAATAGATGAATAATAGTCCAAGACTTATTTTCGGCTTCAAGTTTCGCAGATACACTGATCCATTTGTCAGGGCACGATAATTCTATTTAATTCATTAGATTTTTTTAAAAAATTTTTCTATTCTATAATCTATATAAATAAATGTCAGTGTGTCTGTGTGTCACACTTTTCAATTTTACTCCTAGAGGCCGTAGCCCATCATATCGTATCATTTTGGAATAAGGTCGACTCCGTGAGCAAATTAAAAACATTACGGACCGGGTCCGGACCTGCAAGCCTGAAATTTTTGGATTCCTAAATTTTTTCATTACTGTGATTGTTTTCTGTGATTTTTTACGTGATTTTTTGCGATGAATTTTTTTGAACAATAACAATTTTTAGAACTTGGAAATAAATTTGGGAATGATCGAAATTAATTCCGAAATCCAGTGAAAAAATAATTGTGTGTACGGAAAGAAAGGATCTACGTAAATAAAAATGTATTTTAATTAAGTGGCGGCGAAAAAAATATCGTTGTACTTTGAAAAGGTAAGATTAAATATTAATGGAATACTTGAATGCAGCGATCAATTTTGAGTTCTTCTGTAGTTCATTGTTGCCTATCACATACGGTAGCAGTATACTTCGCAAAAAAAAAAAAAAATCTCCGCCAACAGAGGATCAGATTGCAATCAAAAGAGCCAAGGCTGCAGCGAGGAAAGCAGTCCTGTGCAAATGAAAATCCAGATCAAATGGCAGCCAGAAGAGCTTCCAATGCTGAGAATAAGCAAAGATTTAGGGACTCTCCAACTCTTGAACAAGCCGGACACCAAATCAAGAGTCCTCCGCAAGAACAAGCTTAATTGGCGCCCGATAGGGAGGCTTTTGAGCTAGTATATAATATATGTTTTTTTATTGCCAAGGAATGATGATAGATTTCTTTCCAAGAAAAAGCGTTTACGTATGAGATTATTCTTTAAATGCACAAGTCAAGACCCACTCTCTCGATAACTTTCCTAGGATCAAACAGTAAAGTGGGGTGCAAAACGGCGAAATGTATGATGAGTTGCAAAGCTCCACTTGTAATTAACAGTACGTGTACGCACCCAACAGGTTTGAATTCAGAGGTGCTGGAAGCGTAACGGTCATCGGTGCGGAAAGTGAGATCAGCGAGATGAATTTAAATTCTGGCCGAGCATGCTACGTTCACTTTGCACTAACACCCTTTGAAAAGGCATGAATCCATCTTCTATGGGTTAAATATCAGGGCAGACTAGACCCTTTTGCTTTGGTTGGCAACCAGTCCAGGAGAAAGAAAAACCTGAATTCAACGCCATCATTACAATGAAGGTATCTTTAGGTGAAGAGAGTGTTAAGGAGTATATCCTACACAAATACAATTTAGAGTCATCTTCGGGTACTTCCTGCAGATGCATCAGTTCTTTTCCATTGAACTCTGCCGGTAATACATGTGAAGGGTATCTTGACGTACGGGGCAACCTAAGATCTCCATAACCCTCACTCATACACGTAGCACTTTGTGCAATACCATAATCTCTCGAGACGAATAGATGACAATGCAACGCGAACGCAAGGATAAGAAATTGTTTCAACAACAACAAAAAAAGGAGTATTATTACCATATCTGAGCTGGATCTGCCCAATCCTCACTTTCCAGCCTTGACACAATACAAAAGCATTTACATGGCCTTGTGGGTGATGAATCATTTTCAGCCATATCGTCTCTTTCCCAGAGACAAACGTCGCAAGCTTATTTCTATTGCTATTTCCATGGCAAATGTTCAGAAGATCTACATTGCTTACTTTTACCAGTTCAGACTTTTACAGCTACCTGCCATGCCACGTATACAGGATCGAATCATCCTTATTCCTTTCGTATTCCGTTGGTAAGAAAACAGTTCCACTCGGAATGTTTCTTCCCGAGAACTGTGAAATAGACTCCCGAGATGATGATTTCCTGATTGCTACAATCTTAGTTTCTCTAAATCTATCCTATATCTCATCATAATCTACACTTCCTCCCTCCTCTTACGTCCATACAAGTACCCCAGTCATTAAACCTCGGCCTTGCCTTGTATTAGATGAAATTTTAGTAAAAAAAAATAAAATAAATAAATAAGGGTCATTTGGAACCCCCACAGAACATTCCCACGCCACTCAAGTCACCTAAAATTTTCACATCCTACTGTCTGTCTAAATTTATAACTTCACGCGGTGTCTCCTACAAAAAAAGATGTTTTTTTCGATCGCTATAATCGTTATCTATTTTACATATCCTCATAATCTTCACTTACTTCCCCTCTTACGTCCATACAACAAACTCACTCCATAACCCTTGACCTTGTGTAGCTCTTGGGCTTTGTATTCGGCCAACACTTAGCAAAAAGAAAAACTGTTTATGTAATCAATAAGATTTAGAGTAAAATTTATTCAACAAATAGATCAAAACTTTCATTCGCTTTCGTGAATCCAGACATAATAACACATCACAGTTTAGAATGAGGTAAAAAAGAAGAAAAATTAACTTTAATTACAATTGCATTTTTATCAATTGCATACGGACCCAGTATAAGCAGGAATGTTTCAACTTTTCTTATCGCTGCCCACAAACTGTACCATTACTCTTTCATTTAGCCTCACGCATACTCCTCAATAATAATGTAAGTTTGTGGCAAAAGAGGAAAAAGAAAGGTTAAACAGTTTATACATTTTTTAAACTTTATTTTACCTAAAATTTGTCCCAGAAACATATTTATTTTTATGTATTAAAATAATAATTTTGGGCATTGAAGTGGTCGAATATATCAATGAAGAAAAAAAATGGCAAAATAAAATCTGAGAAGAATACAGAATATTTCTTTTAAATTCTTTTAAATTCGACTCAATAAAAGAAATATGATAAAAGCGATAAACACATGGGAAGTATTTCCTAATCTGGATTTTACGCATTGAAAATCACAAAAATAAGGATTGTCAAAGATAATAAAATTATTATATATACTAACTGTCCTCATGAAAATTCCTTGGCTGTTGAGAACTAAATTTATTGGTTTTCTCATGTCTCTTCTCTTCAATGTCTCTTTGCCTGTATCTTCTTCTCTCCAATAGCCATTACAATCATCGTTGTACGTTCAAAGTATTTTTTGGCTTAAATATTAAACAAACATGGATTAGATTCATATGCGATTAAAATAAAGAAGGGACAAATATTTTTCTGGTGCATTCTGTCTTTTATCTTTCTTTTGGTCTATTTTACCATAATGAATTTTAATGCATCGCAATTTTTAAACCTTTCCGTACGTTCTTTTGAAACTTTTGCTGTATGCCCTTTTTTGCTTCCATATCTCCATATCACTCTATTCCATATATATATATATATATATATATATATATATATATATATTATGGGTACGTGGTCGAGTGATTACACTCGCATTACGTTCGCATTCTGTTCATGGTCGATTTGTCAGAAAGGCGACTTCCTGATGTTATCGGACTGGATCGAGGTCAATCCTAGCATCCAGCACCTTTGGTAAAGTGCCTGAAAAACATACCACGGGTTGACCCAAGCCTTGTGAATGAAATTGGGTAGACGGAACTCTTTTGAGCCGTCGATAGCTGTGCTAGCACGAAACCTCAAGTCATCGTGGCCGAGGGGTTGAGCGTGCTGGCCTTGTTCAAATTGTTGATCACGCTAGAAAACGCGCTCTCTCGCAGAAACTGTAACTAAGGTCTGCTCATCGAAGCTGCAATCTAAACCACAGGTGGGCTCTCATTTCTGTAGTTCACTGCTACCTGCAAGCAGAAATATTTCTTCTCCTGATGATAGCCATTTTGGCCGAAACTAGTCGAGGAATCTAAATGAAATAATAATAAAAAAACGAAAGAATATTAATCTACAACCCAGTGTGTCTGAAGAGTTTAATTTTTTAATATTTTTTATTGTTCAAAATATAATCAGGAATAATAGACACGGGACTGAACCAAAAGCTGAGAACATAACACCAACAGAACCAATAAACACCGAATTATTGGCTATCCGTATGAATAGAGCAACCAACAAATTAGCCAGGTATGAATCACACCAGGAATATATATATATATATATTGCGTGTGTATTTAGGCAGCATTTTTTCATTCATACATGTTTCATTAAATAATATAGACAAGTGTTGTCTATTTATTTTATGTAAATTCTTTTCATAACGCCTGATAAGCTTAATAATATTATCATTAAACGAAGAAAGAAAATCACAATATTGATCCATATTTTTTTAATCCAATCTAAGCTTACATAAGCCATTATCAAAGATGACAAATTACAGTACAATATATTAAGTATTACACGGACAAGAAAGTGATGATAGTCTGTTTCTGTTTACATGGATGATTTCCAAGCAACGATAAACACGTGCATATAAGACGCTGGAAGCGAAAATCGCATCGTAGCTCATGACGTTACATATGACCAGCGCGAGTGAATTCCAGAAATATTAAGTATGGGAAGCCGTATAAACCAATGGCTTCTGTTATAGACATTTAAGAATATTTGTGGAGATTTCATAGTTTATTTTGTTCAGGTTAGGTTTCAACTGTTTTATATATGTGTGTGTGTGTGTGTGTGTGTGTACATGTGTGTGTAAGCATTTTAATACAGTTTTCTTTTCCTTTTTTTTTTTTTTTTTTAGTTTTCTTGTTCTTACTTATTTTCTTTCACACTACTTTCTTACGTGTCCTCCCCCCTACCTTTTTCCACTTAATTCCCGTTATGAAGTAGGTTTCTCGGTCAGAAAGTGGAACCAGTTCTAGTTTAGACGGACCGGGGTGAAGAAAGTGTAAAAAAAAAAAAAAAAAAAGCAACGGTCGTAGATAAAAAAACAGACAGAATAATAGAACATGCAATATTTAAATCCGACGGATGACTCAGAAGGAAAACTGCGAGATCACATAGTCGAGGTAAAAAAAAAAAAGAAGAAAACGTAAAGAAAAGATTAGCAACGAGAAGACTGAACGTATGGTCCTCACTAAGAGAGACAGCTACATGTGTGAGGTTTGAATTGGATACACCACTAACAAACAAGTACAGAAATTTAACTCCCTGGGACGACGGAAAATGAGACACAGAAATCTGAAGAAAAGATTAACATAGCGAAAGATGCCTTCCAGAAACTAACGAAAGTATTAAGAGATAGGAAAATTTCGCAACAAACAACAAAGGGTTCAACTTCTATGCACAGTAATGCTCAAAAGTTTCCTTACAGATGAAGAATGTATTAGATGCATCCGAGATGTGGTTTTAAAGATGGCTGCTGAGAATAACATGGGCTGAACATGTAAATCAATGAGAAAGTTTTAAAGAAAATGGGGACTAAATAGATAATTATGCTTATAATCATATAAGTTTTTGGAAAAAATGCGGAAAATCTTGGAGAATTTAACATACACTAGACAAATTGAAGGCAGAATTGGTAGAGGGGGGCAACGAATAACCTACCTTATGAGTTGGTGTGAATGGATGGCAATGCGGAAATAAAGAGAAATGGTAACGAATTAAAACTTGCTCAGGACTACAATGAGAGGAAATCGTGGAGAGCCATTATCATCCATGTCCGGAATGAACACGTCAAATAAACGAAGAAAATCAGAAAATTTTGAATCTTACATCTAAAATAACATGCTTAACTGAGTAAGAAACAGAAAATAGAGTTTCTTTTGTTGATATAACGATGTTGAGTTATATCATTCCCAGAACGTTATACGGTTTTACAGCCACATTACGTTTAAACAACAGTTCCCGTACGATCATCGAAGTTAAGCAACGTCGGTCCTGGTCAGTAGTTACATGTGTAACCCCTTGGGAATGTAAGCTTGGACGTGCAGGTGGTGTAATGGTTAATGGTTTGGAATTATTAATTGGAGAGTCGAGTTCCAATTCCCGTTGGGTTCGATATTTTCACTTATACGCAAATACCTTGGGAAAGGTATGAATCTACCTCTTCTCCCTCCAGCTACGTGTTAATTAGTAAGACTTGTATCACTAAACCATTACCCAACCCCCTAAATTCTTACAATCTAAAAATATATTCTGGTTTTAAATAACCTGCAAAGATAAGCTGTTCAATCAATCAAAGACTATTATACATGATGGTAATGATAATGTTAGATTAACTGCTTCTTTATAAGGAAACATTCGGCATTCATTGACTGAGCATCCAGCTTTACCATCGGTTGAAATTTATAAAATCTTTCTCTTGAAATAAATTTTCAAGAAAATAGGTTTCTCAAGTCCACTGACTGATGTTGCTCTTTTCAGTATTAATGAGGCTTTTCTTCTTAATCTTTTGTCTGATTATCACCTTATTTTATCTTCGAGTTACATATGATATCTATTTTAGTTGTTACTGCTGTTGAAAGTTCATAAGTGATGTAGATTCTGTTATTTGATACAGTTCTTTGTTTGTGATTATGTAGCGCCAGTCAACGAGATTCGAAGAATGACGGCCCTCGCTAAGAGTTTTTCATACGTAGCCATTTTAACTATTGAAGCGAGAAAGTGGTTGTATACAGCTGACAGTTTAGATATTTCTGTCCGAGTTTGGCGCCATGATTGATATCCATATGTACTTTTTGATCTGTTGAAGCAATTTAAGGACATGACTTGAATTTTTAGGTCAGTGTTTTTGGTTTTGTAGCAATTTCCGGTGTTAGGCGAAATAAGGTAAGATGTGAATAAACATCGTAGAATTGTTCGACTGAAACAATACTTGAACAGAAAAAAGAATGAGTTCAGAATCGTCAGTTCCTGAAATGGGAAAGGCCCTCCTTAAAATTATAGTTAGTATGGACCAGTTATGTAAACAGGAAAAATATAGAAATAGAACAGAAAGTACTGAGAACTATGAAACCGTGGTAGTATCAAATAGAAATTAATTTCCACTCCCACATGAACACACCAAGTAATGTCGATAAGCAAAGATAAGTAAAACTGATTACTTCTATGCATGATGAACAAAGCATAAAAAGTTTTAAATCACTTCATGAACAAAGTTTTAAGTGATGGAGCTTCTTGCCATCCATAAGTGGCGCACGATATGTCATAAACGATAAATATACGAGAACGTTTTATATTTCAGTCAGTGTATAATTTTTATTAAAGATATTTGCTTTGAACACACATTTTAATTATTATTTTATCTTCCTCGGTAGTATCATCAAAGACAAAAGTAAAAGCCATCCCCGAAATGCTATCAAAAACTTTTTCATCTTTTTTCACACCATAGACTCATATTGATTTTAAAAAAAAAGTCGACAGCTATTTCAGTATCGCTTGCCTGAGTAAATATTTCCTTATACGCGTAGATTACATCACATACCTCATTATTCGTGTATAATACGTACTTTCCCCAGATTTTTAAGTCTAACAAATAAGGGGTGGGTGTTATACAATATAAATAAACATTAACTTTTTTACGCCTGCGTGCGTCGCATTATCTCGGACAGTATGACCGAAAGTAAGTTATTTCAATGGTACAAACTAACTCATGTGTAACAAAGAATTTAAATCACTGACCAAATTCTGTATTTTCTTTCAGTTACTCACATAGCATAATTTAGTCTGCTTCACTGCCGTCTGTGTTAAAGATAGATATCATGGCAATTGCATCTATCGTTGCCGTAATCTTCAATGTCTTCGTCGTCCACCGAATCATCTTGTTCTTCTTCCTCAAAAAGCATGGCATTTCCATTGTTGTTCAGTGCAATCGTGATACTGCATGTTTTCGATGACTTTACTACGATTTACTGCGTCGATTTTGTGTTCCAAAACATAACAGAATCGATAAACATTGTTATTTTGATTCGATACAGACCGGATAAAAAGTTGAACAAATATTAAATTTAGATTACATTTAGCTGCTACAACTTCTAAAAAGTTATGCGTAATATACATTTACAAGATAAGTGAAATACGGCAAGCGTGAATGGAATTGCAAGTGAAACGCAGCTTATATAATTGGGAGCGTGCTTATTTTAAAATATGTCAGTGTGTTAATTTGTTATTAAAGAGCTATTAAGCAGTTTAGTGTAAATCTGGTGGAATTTCCCTTATCATTTTGTTCATTCCCCTTGTGATGGCGTTAGTGATTTATATATGGACTTCATGCATTTAAAGAGTTGAAATGTCGCTGGATACTGGATATTCTCTCAAAATGTGAACCGTAAAAGGTGTTCATCGAAGTTGCAGTCGTTTGTGATAAAATGGTCTGCAAGTTCTGGTGTTGTAGCGCTATCATTTGTAATCGCTGAGTTTTTACACCAACAGTAAACGGGTAGCTAAACGGAGAGTTAGAATAGTAAATTCCAGTTCTGATGAGCGGTTATATTCTCAATGAGGCTCCTTCCCTCGAACGTCTTTTGGGTTTAAAGCTCTCTCCAGTCCTCAAATAGAATCACTAAAGATGCTGGAAAAATGATCAGTTTTTAGTATCACCGTAGAAAATACTTAACTCATATTGTTCTGCTTTATCCTCAATTTGATAGTAGTAATGCTGTCGTCTAGATGGCTTTGATTCATTATCAGTTTTTTCAACCTATTTTCAAGGCTGTTCTAAAATTTCCATTAATAATGCTTACAATCACCACCTTTCTATTTTACAATTTCTTCAGTCCTCTGGAAAAGGCCTGATATTTTTTCAGTTTTTAGATTTATTTCTATTTTGTTCAGTGGGCTGTTGGAGCAGTGATATAGATTATGTCAGATTTTCTTATTTATGATGATCAGAAGTAAACTGAAAGATCTGGTTGTAGAGGGTGCGTTGGGTAAATTGTCGTTATTTTATATTTTTAATTTCGCGCATGCGCATTGTTTTTGATTTTGTCGGCGGTAGGGTCAGTTGGACACCGTCTGTGAGAAAAAGAACACCATGAGGCAATTCACTCCACCATCTGGAAACGACATGCTGTACTGCATGGCATTCCCACCGGAAGCTTCAATACGAACATTTCGGAATGTTTGGGTGTCAATCTGAGGACAATGCAGAGGATTCAGAAAGAGTTGGATGAATCTGATGGTGATTACGAAGGTACGGCAGCTCGGAAAATTCACTCTGATCATTCTGATGAGAAAGGAACACTCGAATTTGTTGGTAAGTGCCTTATTCAATACGGAGACCTGCATCAAATAACTTGAGGAGGTAAGTGCTGCCCTGGGTGAAGAAGGTGCCACAGCAGGAGAACCCAGTCATGGCTGTCGGACAATTTCTTTACATCTGATGCCTAACTCTCCAGACTGCAACCGCCTTCATTATTATGTGTTGGTGCAGTTGATCGAGAGACCAACAAAACTCCTTGTAACACCAAAGATGAACTGTAATCAAGGATTATGGCAGCATTCACCAATTTAAACAAGGATACCATCCAGAAGAGATGCAGGAGATTCCGAAGTCATCTGGAGGCTGTGGTTGAAGCTAATAGCGATCTTATTAAATAAATTTACTCTTTCGTATTTCAAGATATTTTTAAGAGCGCCATTGTATTTCACTTTTTCCATTCTATAGAACAGCATCCGGTTTGGGACTACACCATTGATTGACATAATTAAATCCCAATCGTTTTACACAATTCTCAATTTATCAACTTTCCAACCCAATCATGTCTATTTATGTAGACCTTTTGTTCACATATTATATGATTGACGGTCCCATTTCTGTCTTCATACAGAAGACATTTACTATTTTCTGTCTTCTATACTTTGTCTTTAATCAATTTGATCATTTTAGAATTGTTCTGAACTGCTGTTTATTGTGATTTAGTTTCCCTCTTCAAATATGCTATTGGTAATCATATTCATGTCATCTCATTTTAAATTTCTTCTGTTCATTTTGGGTCTGCAATATTTATACATGGTGTCATATCGTCGAAATATTTCCTCGGTCGCTTATTTGCTTTCACTACATTCATCAACAAAAAAAAACAATGATCTTCGATTGCTTATTCAATTTATTGTCAGTAAAAAGACCGGGAAACTTTGTTTTGGTATACTGACCAAATGGTTAACCTCTGCCTTATGCAGACTTCAAGTCCCTTGATCAACACCAGAATCCTCACTGCTAACGAATCTTTTTCTTACTACATCAGTCAGTTATGTGCCATGCGGGATACACACATAGCCGATCATGTATCTTTTGATACATGACTGACGAGGCAGATTTTTCCCCACAGTAGGTTGACATTTCTTTCTGCGATAGACCAGTTGCCATCCAAAGCCGGTCTGTCCTGTTATTTACCCATTTACGAACCGGTTCGGGAGAAGGGGATTCATACCTTTCATCCCAAGGGTATTAGCACGTAAGTGAATGTAATGGATTCGACTTGAATTCGAACTCGGCTCTTCGATTCCTCAATCCGAATCGCTATCCATTGATCTACCCTGCCTCACTCTGCACTTAAATTCAAAAAGTCAAGGTACCATAGCGACGAGCTCATCGAGAAACAATTACCATGAAAGTATTTGCAGAAAAGAGAAACATTTGCCGAAACATTAATAATGAGCAGAGAGAGGAAACAGTAATCAGGAGGACAGTAGATAGCTATTGACATTGCATTTAAATTTATGAAGATTAAAGTTGGCTGGAAAGCTTGGAGTCAGAAGGGAGTTCCACAAGTGAGAAGTGTGAGAAAAGAAACCGTTAGCATAGAACGTATGGCTACATCTAGCCAGTTCAATTGTAAATTTATAAGATCTTGACATCAGTCTAGTCAGTCAGTCAGTTATGTGCCATGCGTGATACACGCTTAGGCGATCATGTATCTTTCGATACATGACTGACGAGGTAGATTTTTTCTCGCAGTAGGTTGCCATTTTTTTT